GGCGTGCAAGGGGCCCTAAAGCAAAAACCTTTCAAAAAAAAAAAAAAAAAAACAGATTAGGAGAAGGGAAGGGGATGATACCCCTGAGGAAGATACAATAGACTACTCTTACCAGAAGCAAAGGCAATGACTCCTGGACACCTCAAAATGAAAAGATACCTGCTATAGTCAGCTAACACCCAAAATGATATGTGAGAACTTACCGAACTTCTTGTTTTTCACGAGATGGAAAAAAATAATAAACTATGATTTTGAAAAAATCTGGGGAAAAGAAAAGTTATGAGTGAAATCAATTTCTGATTCTCAATGAAGAAAGAAAACCAAATTTCAAACACAGTTGCTCAGCCCAACCATGATGGTGCAGGCAGTAAGGGGCTGCAATGTGATGCTGGGGCCACGTGGAAGACTTGGGTTGGGATCTCAGGTCCACCTGAACATTCTGGGCTCTTTCCCATATGCCTGTGCTTCCAATCGGTTGAGAGGCTGGGGAGAGGATGGCGGCACGGTAAGACCCTATTGAGCGTACCTCTCTTTCTTTCTCACATGAACATACAAAACCGGTTGCTCATACCCAGTATTTAGATTCACTCATAAAATGGTTGTCTACAATGTTGGTATAAACTAGAACACCACCACCATGAAAATGATATGGATGATAGATCAAGTCAGGAGAAGTGCTGTGTAGGGATCATATCTTCTTGAGATATGCCATGACCTTTATATTTGTGTCCACTCCCCCTCCCCTCAAATTCATCTTGAAATCCTAACCCCCAGGGTGGTGACTTTGGAAGATGACTAGGCCATTAGGATAGAGTCTTATGAGTGGAATTAGGGCCCTTATAAGAGGGAGCCCAGAGAGCCACCATGTGAACTACAAGGTACCATCTCTGCACCAGGATGCCTGCCCTCATCCTACACAGAGTCTGCCAGTGACTTGATCTTGGACTTCCCAGACGTCCGAAGTGAAAGGAATACAATGGTATTGATAAACTACCTGGTTTATGGGGTTTTGTTATAGCAGCCCCAATAGACTAAGACAAAACGAATGAGAGCAGGGTTTCTCGGCTTCAGCACTATCAGTGTTATGGGCCAGATAATCCGTGCATTGTAGGATGTGGAGCAGCATGCTTAGCATCTACCCTCTAGATGCCAGTAGCGTCCCCACCCTCCAGTAATGACAACCCAAACTGCCTCCAGTCATTGCCAAATGTCCCCTGTGAAACAAGATCACCCCCAGTCATAACTCGCTAGATCAAAGGGAGAAAGAGAGCAAGGAAACCATTTTCGACTGACTACTTATTTTTTAGAATTTCGGGGTTGCCTTATGATTTTATTTTATGTTTAAATTTTGTTTATTTCTCAAGCAAGAGCTACCTTTACAAAGCCTTCATGCCACAGTCTACCCCAAGCCTGAGTCAGCCAGGATCAGCTACATTTGGCTGGCTTCAGGAGAAAGGGAGCTATAAGGCCATTCCTTACAGAGGGTGTTTATCGTGTTCACCAAAGAATATGGGGAGAAGACTGTAATAGTATGACAATGAAGGAAGGAAATGAACTAATTCCTGCTTGGAGGGAAGTATACAACAGCTGCAGGCCCAGCTGCAGAAGTGTATTCAAAAAGCAACATGAAAACAAAAAATAATATATTTTCTGAAGCCAATAATGAGCATTTTTAGGAGAGACAAGGGACTGCTCCAGTTGTACAATCTGCATTTCTGAATTTGTGGATACTGTCTCAAGACCCTAGCTATCAGGGAAGATATTGATTAAGGGAATATTTAATGGAAAAATCATTAACTTCTCTGTATGCAATTCTCTTTGAACTTCAAAGTAAATTAAATGATCAGAGGGCTGTCACAAATGAATGGATGTTCACCAAGACTTCTCCAGGGAGGAGAAAAATATCATTTATGTTATAAGAGTTTCTCTTTCTATAAATCACCCATTCAGGTTCCACAGGAAATATTTCATGATTTAAAGAAATAAGTCTTGGTATATTTCTCAAATTTTGTACCCAAAGAAAAGCCTGTTGCCATTACTTCGGTTTATTGCCAAAATTGAACACAACTCTTTAATAAAAATACATGCAGTATGGTAAGATGAAGAACAAAATGAGATTTCCCCCCAAGTTCAACAGATAAAATTGACATAATCAATTTAATTAGGCAAACAGGGCATGCCAATTAGAATGTAGGATTCCCTGAAGCCTTGTAAAATGCAATGTAGAAAGGTAATTCTATCTAGCCCTGTATTTACAATTGCAGAAGTCCCATAATTACTACATAAATATTCACCAAGATTCTTGACTAAAACTAGGCATACATGATATAAAGGGAAGTTACACATTAGATTTATATTATGAGGGGGAGAAAAGGACCTAGACCCTTTCTTCCCCTGCCGTGTTTATCACTGCACATCCCAGACTTCACAGAGAAGCGGAGTAAACTTGTGGTCATTCACCCTCCAGGACATTAGCATCTCGGCATGGTGATGATTGAATGTCCGCAATTCAGTCAGGCGACCCAGGAGACAGGCAAAATGTTGAGGGTTTTCAGGCTGATAAATCTTGCACAACTTTTGTAGCACATCAAGTAAGGGTTCCTGCAGCTTCTCCACTGCCTCTCTATCCTTGATGTATTGCCTGTCTGTTTTGAAGTTTAAAAAAAAAAAATGACAAAAAGTGGGAAAGCATGAATGTGGCATAATTATGATAATTTTTTTGAGAGGTTTTTGCTAAAGGACCCATGTGCTCACCAAAAAGACAGAGAGTGACATAGAGACAGAAAGAAAGAAATCACCACCAAGGGGATGGCCATGCCACAATCCCTTCTCCTCCATTCTCCTCTTGGGATCTTGGGCATGCTCGCACATGCACCGCAGTTGACTACATGGGAGTCCAGTGACATAGCCATTACGCCAACCACTGGTCCCAATTATGAGAAATTTTATGTTAACTTCCTAAAAGTATAAGTTGACAAGTATCATACATTTAAAATGTATGAATTAGGGCTAGTCAGTGGAGTGATAGTTAAGAAGGCTGGATCCTACATGGTTGACTATGTGGTTAGAGTCCTGGACCCAGTGGCTTGCAACATGTACTGGACATGCCCAAAATCCTGAAAGGAGAAATGGAGCAAAAAGGATTGTGGCATGACCATCCCTCATAGAGGAAGTTGCCTTCTCAACTTCCCTCACTCATGCTCTCTGTCTCTCTCCTGAGAGCACATGCACCTTCTAGCTTTTTTTTTTTTTTTTTTTGTAGTATAGGAATTAAGTGTTCAGGGGCCAGTAAATGGTATGGTGGTTAAGGAGCTAGACTCACCAACCACAGTTCAAGTCCTGGGTCTGGAAGCTTGAAAATTATGTCGGGTATGTGTATGTGTCTGTTGAAAATCCTGCGAGGAGAATGGAAGAGAAGGAATTGCCTCTAGCCATCTTAGGGAGTGGGGGTGATTTCTCACTGTCTCTCTTTCTGTCTCTCTCAGGCAAGCACATATGCCCTATGCCAAAAACAAACAAACAAAACAAATTAAGTGTTCAAATTGATGACTTTTCAAACACACAGGCATGTAAAAAGAGTCTTCAAAAAGTTCATGAGAAACACTTATTATGACAAACTATGCATGGATTTCAAAATTTTTTTGTACCAAAATAAACTTGTACTTTAATTCCATATTTCCATAAACAGTGCTTTCAAGAAGCCTCCCTAAATTCCCCTTCCAATCAAATTCTCTAAAGGTTAGGGGCCAGCAGGTGGCATGGTGGTTAAGGCACTGGACTCCCACATGGCCGACTATGGTTTGAGACCTAGACCTAGTGTTTTCCTTTCTCACTTTCTCTCTCTATTTCTCTCTCATGAGCACACATGCCCTATAGGAAATTTTTAAAAAAATGATAAATAAATAAAATTGAATAAATCATTCTTAAAACAAAATAAAACAAAACAGAAAAACAAACAAAAATCCCCTAAAGCTAACGTGTCCAGTGGCTGTAAGCATCCTTTCTGGTGGGTATATTCTTGGTAGTGGACTTGCTAGTCATAGGGTACATACATGCATAATTTTAGTATGCTGTGCAGAAAGCTTTCCTTTTATTAATTATGATTTTTATAGTAAAACAGATAAAGGAACAACTACCTTTTGCCTCAAGTTGATATGTAAAAATTATTTCAGGCTAGCATTATAATTATATTTTACAAATCCTGAACATGGTGTCACTCATTCCTAGATTATTAAAATAACTCAATCATGCAGATAACTTTATGTACAGAGAAAATTGATTTCAATGTTGTTTAAAGCACCAAAAATATTGGAAATACCTTGAATTATAAACATATGGTAATCACTAAGTTAATGATTAGACATTTATGCAATGGGATATGAAGCATACATTGCAACTAACTTTGCCCATTACAATTTTTTAATTACTTGGAAAAAGACTTTTAAAGAATGTGAACTTTAAAAAAAGAAATATAGGTCCATGCTCAAATGTCAACAATTTAGGCACGTTCTCCCTGACCACTAATTAAAATACCATTTTCCTGTCTCTGTCTTTTCTTAAATTCTCATTATTGTATTTTTCATACCTTGTATGACCTTCTGAAAAAATTAACTTTGTTTCTTCATTTATTATTTTTCTTGCCCTCTAGAATGTAAGCTGTAGTCTTTGTATCCCCAATGTCCAGAAACAGCCCTTAGTAGGTTATTAATATGCAATTATTAAGCGAATGAATGTGATGTTTAAAAAGAAAGATTGAGAAGTACATACACTGAAATAGTAACCATGAGTCAACGTAAATGGTAAAATGACAGGCCATTTTAATTTTTCTTTATGTTTTCCAGATTTTCTGTAATAAACACTGCTACCATCATCTCGAGGGGAAAAATGATGTAAAAAGAAAATGTAACAGTGAAATTACCTGGAGAGAGGATGACAATTGCTGTAAGCAAAGCATATTCTTCTTGAGTCATTTTCAATTCCCCAACACTTTTATAGAAACTAAACATAGGTGTTATATATTCATCAGAGATACCTATGGGGAAAAGTTGAATATTTACAGAGTTAATTAGACCATCTAAAATTTTTAGAACAGTAAAATTTTTGAGTAACTTAAAAGTCTAAAATTAGAAACACATTACATATGTATGCACACACATTAATACTTATATCCATATGCACACGTTCAAATAATTACTGTATATTATTGGATCATTAGAAAAGTCATGACGCATTTTTACATAGAAAAACAGAAAAATAAGCCATGACTTTTCTGATAACCCAATATATGGCCCAGCCAATGGCAAGGCATTGAAAGATAACCAATTAATAATAGCCTCAAATTTAACCTAGTCAGGCCCAGTGTGGTGGTGCAGACAATGGAAACTGAACTGCAGTGCTGGAAGCCACATAGCTGACTATGGGTTTGGATTCCCAGGTTAGCCTGAAAACATGCCAGGTGTTTGTATGCACCCTCAAGATCTGGAGGTGCTGGAGCACCAGAAACAGGGAGGTCACAGCATGACAAGATCCTGTTGAGGGTGCTTTTATCATGAATACAGCATCACCCCCAAATTATTATTATTATTATTAGTTTTGAGAGGTTTTTGCTATAGGGTGCATGCACTCGCCAGAAAGACAGAGAGAGACAGGAAGATAGAAAGTGAGAAATCACCCCCCAGGGGAGATAGCCACACTGCAATCCCTTCTCCTCCACTCTCCTCTTGGGATCTTGGGCACATACTCACATGCACCCTGTGTGAGTTTAAGCTGCTGGGTCTGGGGCTCAAACCTCAGTCGACTACATGGGAGTCCAGAGACATAGCCATTACACCAACTGCTGGTCCCACTCCCAGATTATTAAAGCGACTCAAGCATGCAGATAACTTTCTTGTGTGCACACCCGCACTCCCTATCATAAATAAAATAAACTTTAAAAATATACATAGCCTAATAGATGATTTGCATGTCTTTGATTACACCAGGTCTTGGTTTCATCACTACTGTCTGACAACAAATGCTAATGTTCTTGAATTGCTGAAAGGATCTCTGAATGTCACCATTTCCTAGATGGGGTTTAATTCATCTCTTCAAAATTAATTAGTATCTATAATTCTGGCAGAGGTAGCATCTTAAACAACTAACAAAACAAACTAATAAAAAATAGTTGTCCTTCAGTCTAGAAGTATAAACAACTCCATTTAATAAACTGGCCAGAGTTCTTATCAAAGGGCTCTGACCTCTCTCTGAAGTCCCAAACCTACTTGTTCATTGCCTACTAGGCATCAGTGGGCAGCTCCTCTCTACAAACTCAAAGTATCCCAAAACAAAGACACCGTGTACAGGACCAAACTCTCCCATCTTCCTCCAAATTCACTCCTTTCCTGCCATTCCTAACCTGAGATTGGTGTCCCCACTCACCCAGACACCCAGCACTGGCAGTTGAGAGTGAGGTGCCCCATCCTGTATTCCTTCATTTCATGCCTCTCCCCCTCCCATGGCACCTGGCATTGACCTGGTTTAAGCCCCATCGCTTCCCTCTGGTTTCTGGAAATTGCCTCCTAGCTGGTCCTCCTGTCTTCAGTTTGATCCTCCTCAGTCCATCCTCTATCCAGATGTCAGAATGACCTTTCTTTTCTTAACAGAGATTTTTGCTATAGGGTGTATGTGCTCGCCAGAGAGACAGAGAGAGACAGAAAGTGAGAACTCACCTCCTGGGAGGACGGCCATGCTACAATTTGTTCTCCTCCATTCTCCTCTTGGGATTTTGGGCACACACACACACACCTGGTGTGAGTTTGTTCACTTGTTTTTTTAAGAGAGAAGGTTTTTTTTTTTTTTTTTTTTTTTGCATTCGGCACAGTTTGCTT